TCGCAGAAAACTGCAGGTCTCCCCTCAATGTGTCGCGTCACTGGCTCAGTAGCAGATGCAGCATTCATGACGAGGGGGATTCCACTGGGTTTGCTGCCATCCCGTCGGGGAGGTTGTCTCCACGACGCGTCCACCACAGGATGGGGGCATTGTGGCAGCAGCAGATCGCTTAGGGGACATGGTCTCCATGAGAAAAGTGGCACCACATCAACGCTCTGGAGTTGGAGAGGCTGAGCACTGCGTGTTGCGGCACTTCCACCCGCTCTTCCTTGGGGGAAGGCATGTTCTGGTGCGGTCAGACAACACGCCGGTTGTTTTTCACATCAACCATCAAGGGGGAACACGGTCGATGACATTACTGAGGCTGAATCAGAAGCCTGGGCAGCCCCTCTTTTTGCCAGCCTGAGGGCGGCCCACATCCTAGGGGTGTAGAATGTTCCTGCCGACATCCTATCTCGGGGGCGTCCACCACCGAGGCTCCACCCAGATGTAGTGGGGACTATTTGGGAGAGGTTCGGAAGAGCAGCCGTAGATTTGTTCGCCTCCCGAGAGACGTCACATTGCCCGCTTTTTTTCTCCCTGGCAGACAATACCAATCCCCTAGGTCAGGACAAGCTGTCACAAGACTGGCCGAGGGCACTGCTCTATGCATTCCCGCCGCTTCCCCCGATATGTCCAACACTCCTGAGGGTCGTAAGGAGGGGCATTAGCTCCTTCTGGTGGCCCCCCAGTGGCCAGGGAGGACTTGGTTTCCACTGCTGCAAAGGCTCTGTTGCAGCTCTCCAATGCCTCTTCCCCATAGGAAGGTCCTTCTGTCACAGCTGGGGGGTTAGATCCTGTATCCCAATCCCAGTCGTCTCCAACTATGGGTCTGGCGTTTCCTTCTCAGAGTATGGTGGGGACATCAGGCACACGATGACTAATGCCAGGGCCCCTTCCATGGGACTGGTGTACGCCCATAAGTGGTAGGCTTTTAGCCGCTGGTGTCAGGGAAGAAATGAGGACCCTGTACACTGTCCTATTTCTGTTATTTTAACCTTCCTTCAAGCGCTTCTCAAGGTCGTTCTCCATCCACTCTGAAATTCTATGTTGCTGCCATCTCTTGCTGGCATTCGATGGTGAGTGGGGAAACAGTGGGTCGTAACAAGGACGTTTCCTTGTTTCTGAGAGGTGCCCAACATTTGCACCCTCCCACACGCCCTGTTGTACAGGTGTGGGACCTCTCTCTTGTCCTCACTTCCCTGCGCTCTCATCCTTTTGAACCATATGGCCTCGGCGAAACGGGTGGGTGAACTACATGCCTTGTCTGTTCACGAGTCCTGCTGCCGTTGGAACCCGGCTGGTTCAGGTGTTACTCTTTGGCCTGATGCGGCATTTCTTCATCCACGAGCCACACTGTGCCCCTCGAGCTTGCTTGCCTTGAAGCGGATGGGCCTGATGAGGTTCTCTGACCTGTTCGGGCACTGAAGGCATATGTCAGTCTCACAGCTTCTCTCCGGCAGTCGGATAGTCTGTTTGCTTGCTACGCAGGGCCCTGCAAGGGGCAGGCCCTTTCTAAACAGCGCCTTGCGCGTTGAATAGTGGATGTAGTGGAACAACCGTACATCCGGCAGGGCCACCAACCCCTGATGTACTGATGTACAGTGCCATTCCACCAGGAGCATTAGTGTTTCATGGGCCACTATCACTGGTGTCACTCTGGAGACTATTTGTTCGGCAGCCTCTTGGTCATCCCGGAATACCTTTGCTAGGTTTTACAGGGTTAATTTGGCTGCCCCTCACCCAATGCAGGGAATCCTGTCCCAGTGCGCACAATGTTTCCAGTGAGGTGGGCATGTTTCGGTTGATTGTTTCTGTGTGTGATTCCTCAGGATTCCTCATGCCTGTATTCTATGCAATGGGTTAGCTTCATCACGTACATACACGTTTCAAGTACCCACACCTGCAACAAATCATTCATCACCTCAGAGGAGCATATGACCAGCTGACTGTCATCACCTCTTCGCCAGAGTGTTTGCCTGTTTTGGGTACTCTAGCCCCTCAGAGCATTTTGCTGAGTTTATCTTGAACTTTACTAGTGAATTCATGCTCTTACCTTTTGTTTCTTGTAAATATTTGGCAGGAAGCCTTCAGAGGAGGAAAACCTGGAGGAAAACCTCTCGAGACGCCAAGAGTTCCACAACTCTCTTCTGAGCTCAGACCCCATCATAGTCCTGTTGACAGTCAGCTCCGCTACTACTCTGTGGTTCCATAAACCTACCTGTCCACCCTGCAACGCCACATCTACCACAAAACCAGCCAAGGCCCCCACAACTGGAACTACATGCCACCCTCTAATTCTGGCAGCAAGTTCAAATAAGAAAAGAGCATTCAGTCATCTACTTTTCCCCACCAACCCTGATCTCACCTTTTCTCTCGCTCCTTCTGTGCAGTTGCACCTGGTTACCTGGCCGCATGTCC